TTATAGAAACTGTACACAAAAGTTAAGAAAAGGAAAATTTTTATTCTACAGAGCAAATCTTTACTTTAGCTTACAAAAAGAATTAATAATTTTATTTTATAAAAAGCTAAAAGTGTTTTGTGCAATGTCAAATTCACGAATCTCAAAATGTATTAGATTTATTTACTTTTGACATGGCTGATCCATCCAGCTCCTCCTTAAAATAATCGCACGAACAATGACAACGATATTTGATATGAAAAAGAGGGGAATTAGTCAAATCCTCGCTTCCACCAATGAAATTTTTTTCAGGAATTGCCGCGATACCCTTATCTTTGGACTACAGCGTAGAAATCTCTATTGATCGTCCGTTTTATTATTCAATCGTAAAACTCAATCAAAAGCAAGAGTCTGGAAGTCAACGCGTCGTGCTATTTTCCGGAATTATTGCTAAGCCTAAAATTTAATAATCCTAAAATATCATATATCGTGCCGATTATGACCTCTGCATTAGGATTATAGCAATCATTGATATCTGGTCAGTCATTATATGCACGTTATTATACGTAATTACTTTATGTCTTTATACATAGACATTCAAAATATTGTGTATATATTTTATATATTATTATTATCACTCTAATTTTTTCGTTTGATAAAAACACACAGCACTTTTATGATTAACTTTTCACTACGCCTAATAACTTTTTTGAGAGAAAACCTAACGATATCTTGTAAATTATTTGTAAATCTTTTATATCAAAAAAAAAAAGAAAACACGGATATTATGATACGTTTTCTATAAAACATAACAAAGGATATTCAAATAGTCTCCAAAAACTTGTACGCTGATTATATATGATTATAAAAAATATGTGATATACATTAATGTCTTTACACATAAAAGCAAATGATAGTATATTTAAAATTGTGTTAATTAAAATAGTTTATAATTTAAATCGTATTAATAAAATATTTTGTAAAATATTTACTTTGCTACATTTCATTTGAAAATTAATCGCAGATGAATTCATTAAATATTATATTCTGTGCTATACTTTCTACGTTTGTGCTACGTGTTAGTTACCTTTTCTCTTTATGTTTAAATTTTTATTCAATTACAATTTTTGAAATTTCTTTCACATTTCTATATTTTTTCAAAGATTCTCTTTCTTCTTTCCCTTGTCTATCTTTCTTGGGAAGATACGTGTCTTTGTGTTTGATTTAATTTATTTCGCAAGTATGTATTTTTTTTATCATTTATTATATTTTACTCTCTTATGTATAGTAAACAAAAATCAATAAAAATTGATTTTTGTCATATATGGTTGCTATGTGAATCCTAATGTGTTCCAGGAATAAACTTGGTCTTCAAAACTATCCAAGAAGAAGGAATATTCATAGTTGATCGTCCATTTTTCTATAGTATTATCAAATCAGTCGAATCTAAAACAACTTCTAGTTTCTTGTCACTATTTAAAGGATATATCGTATATCCTAAATCTAAATAATAAATAATAATAATGACATTTATATCTTTTCAGAATACTTCTATTGATATTTAGGTAATGCTATATTATTATTAAGCTGTGCTGTCAATGTACAAATATTGTGTGTTCCATATTTCGATAATCTGATGTCTCAATAATTAAGTCTTATAATTATGTCTCAATAATTAAAGTTGCCCAAAAACTTCGAACCTGATTGCATCTTCTGAATGTACAAACTTTTCAATTATTTTTAGTACTTTAACTAAATTTAAAAAAAAAATATATATATTTTGCATATAATTGAGTAATTTTTTATGACTGCAATTGTATAAGAAAAACAATAATTTTGTGATACAAAATTCTCGATCATCATAAACCTCATCATTAAACAACTATCCATTTTTAATTATTAAAAGAATTGAACGATAATAAAATTCAATATTAATAAAATTTACATCACACTGAACCGAAGAATGATATTTGAGAAACATATATATTGCTTGAACGAATCATAAACTTAAGATTTACTAATGTTGGATACATACAGGATAATAAAAAGTAAAAATGTATCAAAATGTATAAATCGCTTGTGTTATAAATGAGATGAGGAACGATCGTCAGCAAGTATTACATTGCATTGTTTAACAATTTGTTTTAGTTTTCTCCAATATGCAATCCGAACGGATCCGTCAAATTTTCGTTAGATTGCCCGTTTGCGCGCTATAGCACTGTCAAATATATCTACACGAACGTGGAGACAAATTCTTTTACCAAGATTTTAATTTCTTCAGAAAATGCGTACAACTTGTAATTTGAGAAAGCAAAATAGATCCGTGAGAAATTGATGAGAAACTGAGTCGTTTGTCTCATTGCAAAATGTAGCAAATATATAGCAGTTCTTTATTTATTTAATTGATGTAGATATATTGCAACATTTTCATTACAAATATATACAAACGCAATGCCCATACATTATTCCAATATATAATTTCACGAATTTTCATGAATTCCATATTCAAAGAGAAAAATATAAATAATAATGTGTTTGGTCATTTTTATACTCGAAACGTCCAAGAATCTTCTAGTGTGCAAAAATAACTTTTTTAATTTGACTGTGAAAGTAGTCATATACTTGCTGGGGCATAGCATAGATTTATTTCGTATTTATTTATGGATGTCACGTCTCCTTTCGAGCGTCTAATCCATCGATATCAATGTATTATAACAGTGTTATCTGTGAGATGAAATAACGCGACATTATGACATGTTATGAAGTATCTAAGAACGAAAATCGATAAAAAAAATATTTTATGCTATAAGTAAATAATTGTTTCAGACGTAAAAACGGACGAAATTCCACATACTGTCCACACAGGACGCTTGGAATTTAATATAGATCGTCCGTTTTTTTATTACAATATTATCAAGTCAATTTTTAACCGTAGATCAGAAATAATATCATAAGTTTGTTCGTTGAACGTTTCATCGAACCGATTGTATGATAATACTTTACAAGTGTAATTTGACTAACATATATTTAAGAGAAAAAAAGGTACAAATTACAAAACTAAAAAAAAAGCATATACTCGGTTGTGTATTTGGGTAATTGAAACGATAATAATAGATAAATGCTTGTTAATGGGACAATATACACTACTGCTTTTTTTTACGATTACTTAATTATGTTACACATATGTATATTTATTAGCAATAACTTCCTTGTAAAAAAGCATGCGAATTGAGCGATGATACAAATCGTTGCATAGTTTAAAGAGGAGTAGAAGCAATATTTAAAATTATGGAACGAAAAGATTTTCTCTCAAACGAGAGAATTCGTTTTGTTATTTTTTAAGTTTGTTTAACAAAACATAATTATTTCTATTACCGGATTTATTGCCGCATATTTCAGCATTATCTTATATAATCTTCTATTTTTCTTTTGCGCAATCGAGTCTATTCACCTCTTAACTGTACAACAACATAATATACAGCATGAAATAGGAATGAGATACATCCAGACAAACTTGCATAGCCGTATAAGGCAAATTTACATCCTGGACAAATTCTTATACCGAGTGTTACAACGCATGTAATGGGAACCAAGGGCATACCTGAACAACAGAATGTCGGAAAAATAAAGTATAATAAAAATGAAAGCTTAATAGTTTAGGGATTGATGATTTGTTTCAGAAGGTGAATTCGTGAAATTCACCATTTTACACAATCAAGCGATCCTGGATTTTAATGTCGACCATCCATTCTTCTATGGCATCGTATCGTCAAAACCGAAAGAGGAAGCCTATATACCGTTGTTCGGCGGAATCGTCACCAAAGTGACATTCGATAATTAAGAAAGAAAATTATTAAAATTAACAATAAATGAATTTGTGAATGATCGTGGCAATTGGCGATATAACATTATTGTATTGAGTTGCGAAACAATTACGTCGAATCATTTATATAATAATCTCGTACGATCGTTCACTTTTTGTAATAATTGGATTCTTAAAATTTATATCTTGACATTTTGTCAAAATTAATAAAGGGTTATTCTAAAAATTGTTGTTTCTAATATATATGTCACATCTATGTATATAATAATCGCATAACGGGATTGCGTATAAAATTCATATAAAATACATAACATAACATTTTTTTTTGTACGTATGCTTCGAGAATTTAAAATATTAATCAAGGATCGCAAATAATTATAATAATAATTTATAACATTCCGATAAATTTTCTTGCGATCTTCTTCATATTAAAATTACTCAGCATTATTTGATTTTATCAAGTTACCACTACATTAATTTTCCGTCGCTTTAGATGTATTCCCTTAAGTATCTGGAATGCATTTTCAAAACAGCATAAGCCGCAAGTCCAAAGATACAATTACAATGATTATCTTAGAGAGAGAGATTGTACACGATAGATTTTATACAATTAATGATTTGTTTCAGGTATCGTTATCGACTTCTACTAAGATTTGACATGTTGCAGGTCTCAGAGGAATTACGATCCTGATATATATGAAAATTTCATATACTCTCAGAGAAAAAAAGATAATACATATTTTAAGTATAAAATCATCGATCGGTGATTAATCTAACAAGCATCAATAACAAGCATCAAACTGTCGATATACATACGAGGCACTTCTCGCGCTTGTCTAGAGTTTATTCGCTTTTATTGTGTAACAATATACTGTTTCATTATATTGAGTTCTAATTAATGCACTATGCTCCTTATATGTTATGCTTGTCACATGTGAAATATGTATAAAAATATCGCGTTAATATCCTCACAAAAAAATATATTTAAAATTATATTAATTATTAAAAGATATAAGATATATATATGTATATTAGATATTATCTATATATTGCGTGCTATTTGATTGTGTGAGATAATATCTAATATATAATATTAAACACTAATTGTAAGATGAAATAAATATCGACTTCCAGATATGTAGTCTCATAACGCGATATTTAATCAGATTTCCGATGCTTTATAATGATTATGTTACAGGTATTCTGCTAGTGGGATACGCTATGGTTTATGAAGAGGAATTCGATATAAACCGTCCATTCATATATAATATAATAAAAACTTCCTCGACAAACAAAGAAACGGGTGTTCGTGAAGTGATACCGCTTTTCGTTGGACATGTTGTTAATCCTGAATATTGAGAGTCTTCTCTCTGGGAAATACTATTGCAACTACCTCAATGAAGTGATAGTAATGGAAAATGAAAAATAATATTATACGTATATATCGTATTAATTTTATATAACATAATTACCAGTAAATTAACAGATATTTTATGTGCGCAAATAAACATACATTATATTTAATCACAATAGAGAGAAAATGATAATTCAATCTATAAAAATATAAAACTAAACATATGAATTATTTCAATGAATAATCACTGCATTTATTTATCAAAAGATCGATCTTTTCATTGCAGCTTATCTCCCTTCTAATTCTGTAAGAAAATATCAGCTCTTTAGATGTTAAATTTCGCCAGATGTACGAAAAATATTTTATATATATGAATTCCTTCCTTGACGCTGGTTACTTGATGATTCGGTGCTTATATAAGTTATATATAAATTTCAAGAGAGTTAATTAGAATTAATTAGAATTTAATTAGAAATAAAATTTTTAATTAAATTCTCTTTATTAGTAATAAGGCACTTGTTTACAAATTAAATTTGCACATCGCTAATTTGGAACAAAAGCGATGAACATTTTTTGTCTGTTACATATAATTTTGCGACAAACGCATATGTATTGCAGAATAAGAAAATTGCATATATAAATTCATTGGTCATAGTGTAAAAATACAAGATTGCTCCCATAAAAATATCTTATTCTTATCTAAGGATGAGAGAATAACTTTCCTCTCTCGAATCTTGCACGATACTTAATTATGGAATTGCTTAATCGTTAAAAAAATTTGCACATAATTATGCATACTATATAAAAATAGATGCATAAGCTATATATATATATATATGTGTGTGTATAGTATAAGTGATATATAATAAGATCGTAACAATGAAAACAATTGATAAAAATGTCTCAACAGATATCATTGCACTGTATATTTGATTCAATTTGTTAGTATATGTGTAATATATTTTTATGGAATGTTTTATACTATAAAAATAATAATAATGTAACCATTAGAGGTTGCATTAATATAGTAATTAATAATATAAAAATACCATATTAATAAGATCTATTTCTTAAGTAAGATTAATTCTTAAGTATTCGCAATTTCACCAAAGTGATTTCTTTTTCTCTCTCTCCCTTGTATCTTCTTTTTTTTATAACAAAAAGAAATATGAAAGAAGTTAACATGTTTTTGTATTATTAAATTTTTAAATTAAAAAAAATTTGGAAATGTGATATTTATACCTGCTTGGGGAAAAGAGATAATCAATGTTGCTAAAATTTATTTGTATATCTTTCTATAAGCGGGTATTTGAGGATTAATAAGAGCCTTGTGTATTAGCTCAGCTTTAACATTAGATCGCTAACTTAAACTTTGATCTTTATAGAATTCTATAAAACGATTGCTTGTTCCATGATGATCAGGCTATAACATTGATAGAAAGATGATATGTGTTTCATGAAATAACAAGTGATGAGGAACTGGCACACACAATTGAGCAATTATTAGGAAGATATGAATCGCGCTATATATATATATAAAAGATTCTCTCTGTGCTTAACTTATTCTGCAGTTAGCTGCCGTTTTGCCGAACTTTAACGAGTTTGCCGTCTCCGTGGATGCTGTGCCGTTTGATGTCAGCGAGCCTTTGCGTGCTACGCATGTCGGATGCATGCTAGTAGTAGTGTCGAGAAACTCATCATCATTGTCTGAATCTGTGTCCTTGTTCTTGATCGACTTCTTCAAATCGCTCACGTAACGCTCTATCATATTGAGATTCTGTACGCTCATCGCGTCATTATTATCGCCTACTATGAAGGGCAATAGTACTTCGGGTTTTTGAGCGCCCTGACGTTCGATATACATTCGTTGTAATTCGGCCAGCGCTTCGTCCATAAAGCGAACGTTGTTTTTGCGATCGACTACTGGATTCTCACCGAACGCTAACGATTTAACCGCTCTGCCGTTCGTTTGTCTTGGTAAAGTGGCGCCTTTTTGATCATTAACGGTTAACATAGTGGTGGTAAAGCCCATTGGAAATTTGGATTGGCTACATAAATCATTTTTCAGTAGCCTGCCATCAGATGCTGCTTCATTATGATTACCTTGTTTCTGTTGCGCCACATCGCCATAACTCTTGATGAATCCTCGTTCTTCGGGATCTGATGGAGGTGCATTCGCCTTTGGAACAGTGAAAGTCGCATTGTACTCGATGTCGGCAGCGTTTTGATTTATCGGTCGAGTTGCAGCTGCAGGAAGAACCGTGTTGTGCTGCTGGCTTTGCGGAGCGGAATCTCGCCATCTCGCGCTATTCATCACGAGTCGCGCCAATTGTTGGATAGTCTGCTTTGGGACTGCGGCTTCATTATTGATGATATTATTGAACGGTAATTTCGCCGGAGTCGATGTATCGCACGGTTCGCAGCCCGGATAATCGTGTCGAGTTGCCACGTCTAACTGACGCATACACTCGTAGCTTTCGCCTTGTCCAGCTACAAGATTATCCCTTTGCGTATACTTGAACATCTTCTTCCATGATTCCCAGGTGCCGCAATAAGGCGGATCTTGTTCGCAGACACGACACTCGGTGTCTAAGAAAGCTGCGGTGAGTATCATAATGGGAGTGGGTTCTCGCTGTGTGAATAGCTTCCTGCGTGCAGTTAAGATTTGACCCATATTCATTTCCAACCGTGCGTTCTCTATTCTCGCCTCGAGTTCGCGTTCCATCTCCAATAACTTAGCCGTCTCACATATCAAACTTCGTGTATTCATATGCAGTCTGCCCGTTTCTCTAGCGATGCGTCTTTCCGCTGATGATTGCGTACGAGCATCATTATTATTGATAAGCTGAAAACCGAGCCGTTGTTGAGCTTTCACAAACGGCGACGTGGACACCGGGCCCAATTTTGACCATATTGTGCCGACTTTTCTGCCTGCTGGACTGACAGCGATTGGCGATACTATACCGGGTCTAGTCAAAATAGGATTCTGATTGACTAGCTCGATATTTGAACTCGGTATCGTGCAAGGAACGCGACAAGGCTTCGGCGGAACTAAGTCCAACTTGGGCGGGACCATTCCGGGCTTTGGTGGCGGAAGCAAAGAGGTGATCGTAGGTTCCGGCAGTGATTGTGGCGGCGGCGGCGGCGAAGACATTTCATTCTTATTAAGTACCGTAGCATGGACGACATTTAATAAATGATCCAATCTGTTCTCGAGCCTGTTCTGCCGATCTCTGTCCACATCGAGAAATCGTGTCACCATATCGTTTTGCACGGCTAAGATCTAAAAAAATCAAAATAATATAAAAAGTTACATTTTGTAAATACAGAAGGAAACATATAAGAGGGCGAAAGAACAAGAAAGAGAAGGAGAGAGATAAAAGGATAAAAAGAAAATAAGATATATGAGTATTAAGGTTTTATAACATAAAGAGAAAAAAGATAATGAAAATCGATTTAAAAAAATGTTATAAGTACATAAAGTATCACAAATTTACCTTATTAACGACTTCATTTTGAGAATTAATCGCGTTAAGCACGAGCTGTTCTAATTTTTGCGCCTTCTTCTTTCTGAACGGTGCATTTGGTATTTCATCGGTATTCACGGCGCTGTCCCGCGACTTTCCACCATTCTCCGACGGATCGGGCGAGTTCAACAAAAATTCCAACAACATACTATCGTCGTTACAGGTCGCGTTATTCGTCATCACAGTTGCGTCCACTGCATTGGGATTGTCCAGATTAACGGGTCGGTTATACGTTTCGTTCAAATTATGTGTCTTCTCATCGCTCTTCGACAAACAGAAACCATCATTCAAATTCTGCGACACATCCGGCGAGTAGTCCGGCGATCCGTTTTGCTGAACGGCATTCGCTGTGCAAACTAGGTGAGTGTCTTGATATCTGTAGGCCAAGTTCTGTCCATAAGCGACTTTACACGGTTCCTGCGGCATTGCCCGGTTATCGGCGTATAACGCTCTTTGCTGCAGCTGATTTTGTTGGCGTGCAATATTCTCCGCATTAAAATTATGCATTACGTTACTCTGTGTTATTCTATTCGGCAAGGATTGTTGGTTCACATTGTGCTGGTAACCGAACTGATCGTTCGCCAGCACATTCCGTTGCGGCAAATGATTCCATCCGACACAATTTTGCTGCTGATTATTTTGATATTGCTGCATGTTTTCTTGAATAATCTGATTTTGTACATTTTGCACCGTGTTTTGATATGGAATCTCTCCATATGGATGAGGAGCCAGTAAGTTTGGCTGATAGTTCTCTCGCATCGGTTTCTCCATTGGATTTGTCTGTATGGCCCGATTGCCAATTTGAACTAAATGTTCACCGGTATTTATAGCAACGTCTCTTGTAGGAGAGAACATTCTATATGGCTTGGCTATTATGGTCTCATTCGATTCGGGTGAATCTGGATAATCATTTTCACCTGCAAGGAAAGAAACATGAAATCTGAACATCAAAAATAAGATTCTTTATGAGAAAACAAAATGCCTTACATCCTATTGTCCATGTAGGGGACAGAGCTTCCGTTCGAAAAAGAGATTGCACAGGCTGCTGAACTTTTAGTCTCATCTGCAGATTCTTGTTGGTCTTCACATCCTTTGGCGGTGATTTCACATAATTGGCAGTTGCATCTAATAACATATTACAAAAGTATGTAAGTATATAATATCAATGTATTCCCATATATTTCATTCTAATCCCTGCAGATTTAAAGACAACAAAAATGTTGAAAAAATGTTGAAAAAATGTCTAAACATGTCCAATCTATATCAGATGTTCTTTAAACATTTCTTGGACATTCTTTGAATTCTTGTGTGTCGAGCTGACGTTTTACGATCAACAGTCTCTTATGTACTCGCCTACTGTGTCCACACCAACATTGATATTGGCCTGGTCCAATCGCTTATTCTTCAGCACCCTATCAATGGTTTCATAGTACTGTTCCACACCAGCACGAGTGCCCGCTCGCTTGGCCTCACGATAGCACACAAGGACCTGCTTCATGCGCGATCGACACTGCTTGCCCGTGACGTTGTAGCCCTTCTTCTTCATGTAACGCGCTACGCTTTCCCAGATTATCTGTGGCCGGGGAGCATATTCGAGCTGCTTCTGCACCTGCCGATCGGACCACACCGAGACGAGAAGCGCACTGCTCTCGGGTGTCCACTTGTACTTGGCGTTTTCCCCGCTCGTATCCGACATCGTTAAGTCTGATGTATTTGCCCTACAATAAAATTAAACGAGTCACAAGGATTCATCAGACTTTTCCCCTCTACGGATATCTATTTTTGGTACTACTATCACTCCAACTGAACTCACCTCGCGTCACTGATCCTCGTTCAACTCCGCTTTCCGCTGGATTCAATGCGACGTTCAACAGGTTGCAACTTGTCGCGATTCCGAGTAATTTATGTGAAATTGCTCAACACACAGACGCGCACTCACACTACTCGCGCGCACCAACGCGCAAACGCAAATACCTATCTACCTCTCTCGTTTCTCGTTTCTCCTCTCTCGTCTCTCGTCTTTCGTCGCATACGATTTGCGACATTACGATGAACCTTGTAACCGACAAACCGACAGCGATTCAAATTTTAAAGGGACCAGTACTCCAGGACTACATGGTGGGAGGAGATGCATCCATAGACATTTAAAACTCATAAGAGATGGTATCGACAATTTCGATGTGCATCGGGCAATTCGGCGGGGAATGGCCCAAAGTAAAAAAGGATGCATACATGCTCGTTGTCTTTATCAGGGATTCGCTGATTGGTTGATACTTTATAACGTCTAGTCAAAAATATTGATTCATATATATATACTTTACGAATTGAAAAAAAAAAAAGTAATTTACAATCGCATTTCCAGTTTCACTGCTTAAATTTATAAATATTTCCTGGGAACTACGTACATTTTTATTACATTGTGAAAATGCTTAACTGTGATTGGTCAATTTGCTTACGGTAAATAGTCTTTATCGACAACTCCGTCTATATATTTTATGTCTATGGATGCACCGCGGCAAGAGCGGATTCATGTAGGAGAAATTTGGGCTTCGGGCGCAAGAAATACCGTCTTTCTTTTAAGAAAAAGGTGAGATTGCGAATCTTATACAACTTTCGTTTCAATCTCTGTTTAAATTATTTAAGCAAGATGTGGCGTGATCTCTGAAATTCTTGAAGAATAAAAGTAATTTGACTCAAAATAATTCATTGCAAGAATCGCGTTATTGTTTATAATAATATTATATTAGAATATAACTATTACTATATTATTTCATAGCATGAATATTATTTTACATCCGACTTGTAACGGATTCAAAAGCGGTGGCGCTGTGACCAATCAGCGCAGAGATCAGTGCGTTTGGGTCGAGCGTAGGACGCCGAAAAAAAAAAGTGAACTGTCGCCAATTGTCGCCTGGCGGGAACGTGCAACGTGCAGGCGTGTGCAGGCGCGTACAGGACAGGAATGTGCCGAAAAGAGTTTCATACGTGAGTTTCGATGTTCAACAAAGAAAATCACATCGGTGTATTTGACACGGCGTGATAAACGTTTTTCTATTTCGTCTAACGACGTTCAACGCTATTAAAGGAATTAGCGTAGAATCCGGAAACCGATCTGAACACGATGAAAATCTACATCGACGTTACAATGAACAAATTTAGACGCTAACGGCGTTTTTCGCTTCTTGTTTAAATACGTCAACGATTATCGTCGCAACAATTTGAGAAATGGAAAATACTGTGAACGGTCGAAAGAAGAAAGCCACGGAGAAGCCTGATAACGAGCAGGCTAAACGTTCGAAGCATGCTGAAAATAACAATACTGTGGAGGTATTTTGGACAATACAATTTATTAAAACTGCATCACCTATGTCGATAAAAACTATTCGATCTCGAGTTAATAAAAAATATATAAAGCTCATAAAACATTAATTAATTAATTTTAACTTTAAGCAATTCTCATATTGTAATTTTTTGAAAATTGTATACAAACAATACTTGATATGTTTTCATCATATAATCATTTCATTATTTGTAGTATACAGCTGGAAAGGTGAAAAGCATTCGTGTTCGTAACTTCATGTGTCATGAAGCTTTGGAGATAGTGCTAAATGAAAACGTTAACTTTATTGTGGGACGCAATGGCAGTGGCAAAAGCGCCATACTGACAGCATTGACTGTTGGACTTGGTGCAAGGGCAAATGTCACGAGTAGAGGGACTTCTGTTAAAGGTATTTTTATGTTTTAACTTGTTTTTTATTACACATATAGGATGTTGAAAGGATGTTTAGGATTTAAAAGATAGATAGTACTTATATTAGGTCCAGTAAAAAACATTTACTGAATATATCAAAAAATTAATCTTGTTAGAGCTAGAAGCAATTTTTGGATTTCAATAAAACAAGTAATTTAATTTCTATTGTATGCAATGTAAAAACACATGGTTATGCAATGAAATAAAATCTTATACAATGTTGCTGATCTCTTATATATTCTTGTAATATTTACAAAAATGAGTATTATCTATTCTGCAAGTATTAAATTATTTCTTTAATATTCTTTATTAATAAAACAATTTAATAACATGTGTGAACTGCTTACTATTATAGAATTTATAAAGAAGGGAAAGAATTCGGCTACTATTGAAATAACATTAGTTAATAAAGGAGATACTGCATTTAAACATGATATTTATGGCGATACAATAACAGTTGTGCGTACCATTGGAAATGCCTCGTCATATAAGATTAAAAATTGGAGAGGTACTTGAAGTATAAATTTTGTTTTCAATGATTTAAACAATTATATCATTTTTATATATACTCACAAAAAACATATACTATTTACAGGAGATACTATTTCTGCAAAACGGGATGAATTAGATAGTATTATAGAAACAATGAACATACAAATCGATAATCCAATTTCTGTTTTAAATCAGGATGTTTCAAGAACATTTCTAGTTTCCTCTAAGGCTGATGAAAAATATAATCTATTTATGAAAGCTACTCTTTTAGACTCCATCAAAAATAATTATAAAGAAGCTTTAGAAATCTGCGAAGGCGAATATGACAAATTAAAGATACACTCTGAAGCCTTGTTACAAGTAAAAGCAGAGATAGAAAAATTGAAGGAAAATATACATAGATTAGAGGAAATAGATGAATCACGAGCGGAACTAAATAATCTTGAAATGGAACTTGAGTGGTCTAAGGCTATTGTGGAAGAATCTAAACTTAATAAGATACAGGAAACTTTAAAAATGTATGAAGATAACCTGAAGAAAGTACAAAATGTGGAATTATCTGTGGGAACAAAAGATGAAGAAATTGATGCAAAAATCAAAGAAGTGAAACAGGAAATTCAGAAAGCAGAACAGGAAGTGATAGACAGCAGTGAAGCGTATAATAGTGCAAAACAAAAACATTCTGCTGCGTGTGAAGCGCAGTCTAATAAACAGCGTGAATGGCATTCTGTAACAAGCAGAAAAAAACGGTTAGAAGATGATATTAATTTATTGAAGAAGGAAGTTCAAAAGTTAGAAAGTTGCAACACTGAAGAACATAATAAGAGGAAAGAAATGATGGAGCGTCTATCAAAGCTTGAAGAGAAGCTGGATGAATTGGAAGCTTCATTACGTACAAAGCAAACCGAATTGATGCACTTAGAAGCCGATAAAATGCGACTTTTGCAAGAAGTACTACCCGCTAAAAATGAAATAGAAAATTTCAATAGACACATAGATAAAATCAAAAGAGATTTAAGTGCATTTGAACAACAATCAGATAATGCATTGAGTGTATTTGGGCCAAATATACCACGTTTGTTAAGAAGAATTGAGGAAGAATATAAGAAAAAACGATTCAAGGAGAAACCACGTGGTCCTATTGGTGCTTATATAAAAGTGAAGGATGCATCTTGGACACCAGCAATAGAAAATTATCTAAATTCTCGTATGCTTAGCTCGTTTTGTGTGGATAACAATCAGGATGCCAAGTTATTAAATGGCATCATGAAGGAAATTTTTTACAATCAAAATATTCCTCAAATTATATGTAGCAAATTTTTTAACAAAGTGCATGATGTTAGACCATACTGTACACAGTCATCACAGTATTCTAATCTCTTTGAAGCAATGGTTATAGAAGATCCTATTGTAGCTAATTGTTTGATTGATCAATCTCAGATTGAATGTGTACTCCTCATACCAACAAGCAGCGAGGCTTGCGAAATAATGTCGGATGCTATGAAAGTGCCAAAGAATTGCAAAAGAGCTTTTACTAAACGAGGTGACTTATTCTATCCCGATCCAAATTATAGGACTTATGGTGGAAAGTGTGGTACACGCGCTAAGTTTTTGCAAGTTTCTACTATGGAAGCAATGCAGTAAGTACAAAGACTTTGTTCAGTTTTTAATCTGCAATAGTTTTATTCCGTTTATTAATAACATGTGATAGAAAATTTAATATAATTATTATACTATTTACATTAATTTCTTCTCATATTAAGAACACTAAGAGAAGAACTTCAAGTAATGGAAAACAAAAAGGGAGAAGCTCTTACAGCATATAATGCCATAAATGAAAAAGTAAAGCGCACTAATTCCGAATTAAGCAATGTAAGTGCAACGGTCCGCAAACTAAAATCCACGCAAAGTGAATGTACTGATATGATTAATGAATTGAAAGATAAGATTGACTCAAATGAAGCTACATCTGCTGACGTTTTTGTGAGTAATTAGAATCATTCCTCGATAAGATACCATTTTTTTTTTTTTTTTGTTTTTTAACACGATGCAATTACATAATTTGTTTTATTATTTATAGCGAAACGAAGCTGCTGAATTGGAGAAAAAGTTAGCATTGGAAAATACCACAGAAAAGCTCTTAGCTGAAAACGTGCAGGAACTTAAGAAAAATGTAGAATCTCTCCATATAGAAGTCAAACGTTTTAGAGACTTAAGACACAATTTACACACAGTGATTGATCCTCTCAATGTATATCTTTTCTCTTTCTATTATCTATTAATAGAATAATTATTATTTATTAATAAAATAATATTCTATATGTATATATCTGCGCAGGATCAAATAAAGGAGCTCATGCAAGAAAAGGAAAAATATCGGCTTGAATGTTTGCGCGCTACTCGAAAGTTACCAGAACTTCGTCAAGCTGTACAATGCGCAACGGGAGAATTAGAAATACAAGAAAGAGCTACAAATAAAGCAATTTTCGATGCCACTGCAAAATGTCCTAGAATAAACACGACAAGGTTAGTATTATAAAGTAACAACGTACCATTATTGCAATTATTTATTATTTCAAAAATTTAAATTATTTATTTTTCTTATACAATTTTTTATATATTTATATTGATATACATTGCTATCTATTTTATTTCTTATAGATCGATAAACCAAATCAAAGCTGTAATATATGATTTCCGAGACAAGATTCGCGAAGTAGAGCATCAATTTGGCTGTATGGATGACTTACGCCAACAATTGAAAGAAAATGAGCAAAAATATGGAGTAAACATAGAATTTGCGTCTCAATTAAAAGAAAGTTGGGAAGTGAGTAAATAATCTTTATAATTTTTATTAATTATCAAATCATTATTTTATCAAGGATCGCGAAATACTTTATAATAATATATTCGTTTATTGTAGAAACACACGGATCGAGTGAAACATCGACAGAATACATTTATAAAATTGAGGGATTTGTACAGTACTCTTGTGCAAAAATCTTTCACTGATATGCTTTCTCTAAGACAATATAGCAAATAAAGGAGCTCATGCAAGAAAAGGAAAAATATCGGCTTGAATGTTTGCGCGCTACTCGAAAGTTACCAGAACTTCGTCAAGCTGTACAATGCGCAACGGGAGAATTAGAAATACAAGAAAGAGCTACAAATAAAGCAATTTTCGATGCCACTGCAAAATGTCCTAGAATAAACACGACAAGGTTAGTATTATAAAGTAACAACGTACCATTATTGCAATTATTTATTATTTCAAAAATTTAAATTATTTATTTTTCTTATACAATTTTTTATATATTTATATTGATATACATTGCTATCTATTTTATTTCTTATAGATCGATAAACCAAATCAAAGCTGTAATATATGATTTCCGAGACAAGATTCGCGAAGTAGAGCATCAATTTGGCTGTATGGATGACTTACGCCAACAATTGAAAGAAAATGAGCAAAAATATGGAGTAAACATAGAATTTGCGTCTCAATTAAAAGAAAGTTGGGAAGTGAGTAAATAATCTTTATAATTTTTATTAATTATCAAATCATTATTTTATCAAGGATCGCGAAATACTTTATAATAATATATTCGTTTATTGTAGAAACACACGGATCGAGTGAAACATCGACAGAATACATTTATAAAATTGAGGGATTTGTACAGTACTCTTGTGCAAAAATCTTTCACTGATATGCTTTCTCTAAGACAATATAAGGTAGTTATAAAAAAATATTTCTTATTTATATCGTATTAATTTTTGCTGTTTAAATACCTTTTTGCTCTTTTATTTTACTAGGGTACTATAGTAATTGATCATGTAAACAAAGTGCTTGATTTAAAAGTGAGTGCGCGAGACGATAAAAAAACTAGTAGCGACACCAGATCGCTCTCTGGAGGCGAACGATCTTACTCGACTGTCGCGTTTATTTTGGCCTTATGGGATTGCATTCAGCTACCATTCTATTTTCTCGATGAATTCGATGTATTCATGGTAAACAACTTCCCACATCTATAGCACATCTTGAGATGTTTATTATATATATAAAGTAACCATCTATTTTGTATTTTTGTACAGGACAAGGTAAATCGGCGGGTGATAATGGACATTCTTTTAGATCACACTAGATCGCACCCAGAAAGTCAATTTGTTTTCCTCACACCTCTAGATACGTCGCACATTCTTTCCGATGATTACGTAACAATTCACGAGTAAGTAGATGATTTTACAATTTATTATTGAAAAAAAAATAATCAGGTATTTTCTATTTTCAATTGTATGAATGGGATTCTTTTAAATATTGTAAAATTTTTGAGATATTGCGAGGTGAAGTTAATACAATTCTTCAAGAACATCACATTACAGCAGAATAAATATACTCTTTTTAGGTTACAACCACCTGAGAGGAGAGGTCTGAGTCAATAAATGTTTTAATATTTTTTTTTTTTTTTTTTTTTTTTTTTCTTGGTGATTCAATATTTTTTCGTCGATTATATGATACAAGGAAATGTATTTATTTTTCGCTCAACAAAGATGCGAAATGTTATCTAGCAATAAGCAAAAAGAACATATTTTCATAATAATATGTTTTCATATTGTTGAAAAAAAATTTAAAAATGTTTATATACATCCAATATGTGGTTTTCTCTTACTTTCATAAAAACGCCACTTTTATGAAAGTAACGAAAAATTATGCAAATTATTTTTGTATAAGGCATGTATGAGAAATCCTACCTAAAGAATTATTCAATACAATATTCGCGACAGATTTTTTTTATTCCAGTTACGATATACATAAAAGGATAAGAACTTTGCAACAGAAACGTTACAAAAGTGCCTTTAATTGTATTAATTATATAATTTATTATAGATCTTCTCTTTTGATAATAAAGCACTATCCAATAACAGTATATTAATACATTATACTATATAACTTATATAGTTATGCTATAATATTTCTTTATTTAAAACTATTCAGTGAAATGATATCTGTTAGAAATTCGCGTTCTATTTCTATCTGTTGCATAGAGTGAAGGAATCTCATTTCATATCTTGATAAATTTTAACGTTCATTTAATACATCATACTTGCATGTAATTTTTATTATAAGTTATAACAAGTTCTTACAGTCTCACTCGCGAATACTTCAACGGATTCGCGAGAATTTTCTCCGAATTTGATTCATTGCCAACAAACACGAGAATGCCCAGAGGTAGGCAGTGGAGGGACGTACATACATAAATACATCGCGCAGAACATGCCGGTTCGGTAAGTGGATCAAGGTTCGCGCGGCATTGCGCGGATCTGGTCCGGTCGGGGTTCCCGAGCTTATAACGCAACACGCCTTTACGCATTACGCGCCTATTACATGTGATGCGCACGCCTGGATCCGTGCGTGTGTATCGGTGTATCGGCCGGCTGGACGGGGCGTGGTAACGATATTACGTAATCCGCGCGTGAGCACGCTGGCCACCGTCCCGGAGAAAGTGCTCGGCGAGCGCTCGTGAATCGGTAATGTCTCGGAAAGGCAGGATAACAAACAGCCGGCCCACGGCAGGTAGTACCTGACTGACCTAATTTCAGTAATTGGGCCCGCTGAAATTTCCACGTTTTCTCGATAACTTTTGTACGGTTTCGTATCTTTTTTTTAATTAAAAGTTGGATAATATTATATTATCCGCCGATAACGGTGTTTCAACATTTGAAAACTTGGGTATATGTGTCTTAAATTATATAATTTTATGATTCAATCGTGAAAATAATATCGATTATAATTACGAATTATTCGTCAAACAATGCAGTTTTTATTGAGTTTGATGGATGATCTATTTTGACAAAGAGAGGAAATATAGAATTTGTGACATACCGCATCTTCAACAATTTTGCTTAAATGATATCTTGACTCGCGTCGATCAGTAATTATGACGAGATTAGGAAAGAGCTCTAACAATAAGTACGAATAAAATATTCCGTGCAAAAATTACAATTATTCTAAAATTTAAGACGCAATTATTTCAAATCATTGGAAGACTTACACACTACACTTTCACAAAAAACAAATTCCTTGTAATAATTCCTAATAATTCCTTTTTCAGAAACGCAACGAATAATTCTATAATCTAAATCAGAGATTACTTTTCTCCAGAGTTCAATTTAATTACCGAACAAAGTACATTGAAAATGGGTGAAGGTAATCCACAACTCTCTTACACGATCTATATATATTTGCTGATAGAAGTAAAATTTATTCGATAAATATGTTCCTAAATGGCGATCAGGTCACAGTTCAGTGGAGGTAGGCAGCGGGGGCGGCATAGGAGAAAGCAGCGGGCGCCGCGGCGATCTTGGCGATGGGCGCACTGTAAGCAAAGGCTGGGGCGGCTTGGTAGCTTAATTTAGCTACGGGTGCGGCATAGGCGAGGGGAGCAGCGTGCGCCAGGGGGGCAGCGATTTTGGCGATGGGGGCTGCGGCGTAGGCGACGGGTGCGGCGGCGACTGCGGCGGGTTCCTTGCGTACCACGGCGTTAAATCCGTTGACCGAATCAGCGGTGTAATCGACTATGCGCCTGGTGCCATCGGCCTCCAGAAGGGAGTAGCTGCCCTGAACGACATCGCCGTCGCGGGTTTCCTGCTGGCTCTTGGCATCTCCGGTCAGACTGTCGTGCACGTCGTACGCGTAGCTGTACTGGGGATGCGGGTCGTAGTCAGCCTCGATGGTCTTGGCCACCACGGCCTTGGCGAAAAAAAAATCTTATATAATCGCAAAAAAGATAATGAAAGGAAAAGAGTTATATATGTATATATATATATATATTTTGAATTAACAAAAATATTATGATACCATTAATATCGTTTGCATTCTGCGGTAAGATATTTTGTTAATTTTTATAAAAAAATTAGTTTAAAATGTATATATTACAGCAATTTTGTTCGATTCACACACATACGCGAAACGACTCGCGAGTGAAATCGTGGTATTAATACAAGATGTAGTACATGCGCAAAAATTTCCGTAAATGTCGTTAGTTACACACAATTTCTTGATCGATTAATGAAATAATATCACAGGAAAGGATGCTATCCGTGAGAAAACGCGACAAATCCACCGTCCTGTAATTATTCTCGAATTATTATAATTCGTAATATTATGGAGAATTCAATCCTGCTGGCTCTTGGCATCTCCGGTCAGACTGTCGTGCACGTCGTACGCGTAGCTGTACTGGGGATGCGGGTCGTAGTCAGCCTCGATGGTCTTGGCCACCACGGCCTTGGCGACGGGGGCCGCGGCGTAAGCCAGATGTGCAGCGGGGGCCGCGGCGTAAGCCAGATGTGCAGCGGGGGCCGCGGCGTAAGTCAGATGTGCAGCGGGAGCCGCGGCATAGGCCAGGGGGGCGGCGGGCGCAATCACGCCGGCATTAGCGGCGGCGATCAGGGTGACGAAAGCGACGAACTGAGAAAGAAAGAAATGTATGAGTAAAAAAATTAATAGAAAGAAATATATAATAAAATTTAATGATATAAAAATATAGGGTAAAAAAATATGATTATAGAAAA